CCCCCCCCGCCCCTTGCTAACCCCCATCTCTCCATTCCGCTCCCCCCTTACGCTTGACGATAAACCGGTAATTCGTGCCGTTGCCAGGGGTCGGCCGAGATGCAGCCGAGGCGAGCCGAGGCGCGGCTGAGGTAGCCGAGGCAGCCGAGGGCTAGCCTAGCCGAGCCGAGTTTTAGTAGTTGCCCTTCAAACATATCGAACATTCGCCATTGTCGTCCGACAATACATCTTCCGAAGCTCACTCGGAATAAGGCGCATAACTAAGAATGAGAGTAAAACAGAGAAAACTGCGACGGACAGCTTATTACCTACCGTTGTAGGCTATTCTTGGGTGTGTCAGGCACATGACAAGGTGGACCTTAACTTCGTCCGAAGGTACCGTTTTTTGGCAAACCGGACACTTTGTATCCTGTAAAAAACGTGCCTATTTGGATTCAGTCAATTTTTGTCGCTTTGCCCCATAACTGCGTTGCTGACAACGCTTATCAATTCCGACAGTGTCGGGAACCCCATGAGAAATATGACAACGTATGACTAGGAGTTTCTTCACTCGCCCGCCGCGTAGCAAAACGACGGAATGCTCTTGCAGGTTGCATCATTCGCCGTGGATGTAAGCCAAGACGTCGATGTTGTTAACTTGACTCGACAATATTTATGTAATGCAGAATTTGGTTTCTTCGGTGTCACTGTTCCAACACGAGTACAAACAGCGCGCTTAAACGGATTGCTGGTAACAGTACCAACAATTTTTAACGCATTTCAACCAATACCTAGCGCAGACGACTTTGATTTTTTTATCTTGCTGCTGCGCAGTTTTCTAATCAACTGTGCAATGGCTGCCATTTTTATCTCACTCTCCTTATGTTATTGACTCAAACGATTAGCAACACTGAATTACGCCATCAAAATCGAAAGAGAACAAACCATATTCTCAAAACATTCCATCCACTCGCAGTCTATTGTTACATATTATTGATCATATTGTTTTTTGCAGTTTGTTGAATGCACCGTCAAACTGGAAATCATTTCATTCTCAGACAAACTTCTAGAACTATTAAAAACCGGCTAATAAAAGCATTATTAACGTCGATAAAAGCGGTATCGAAAGCACCACTAAAGGCAGCAGAAGCAGTAGCAACAAACGTACAAGAATTACCAAAAGCACCACAGTCACTGGCGAAGGCATTATCAA